TACGCCTTATATAGACCATGAAAAAAAATATTTAAAAAATCTACGCCTTATATAGACCATGAAAAAAATATTTAAAAAATCTACGCCTTATATAGACCATGACAAAAATTATTTAAAAAATCTACGCCTTATATATGCCATGGAAAACATTTTAAAAACATCTATGCCTTATATAGACCTTTGAAAAAATTATTTAAAAAATCTACGCCTTATATAGGCCATGGAAAAATTATTTTAAAAATCTACGCCTTATATAGGCCATGGAAAACATTTTTAAAAACATCTACGCCTTATACAGACCTTTGAAAAAAAATATTTAAAAAATCTACGCCTGAAAATTTTATTAAAAAATCTACGTCTGAAAATTTTATTAAAAAAATCTACGTCTGAAAATTTTATTAAAAAAATCTACGCCTGAAAATTTTATTTAAAAAATCTACGCCTTATATAGGAAGCCTAGAGTCCCTCAATATAAGGGCGTAGATTTGTTTGCAAATAGTTCCGTTGGTTCTGTTCACAGAATCTATTATTTTGAACACTGTTATTCATTTTGTCCTTTGCCTTCATTCTAAACATGACGGCTACCAAGGCGTTATGCTTCACACGTTCATTCGTAAACTTCTTCGATTTTCTTTTCATATTGTTTTCTTTTATCGGTCATTCTCTTTTGTCTCCCTATTCGCAGCCTTCGTAAACGTATTTCGATTAGGTCGTTCGTTCGTTCGGTCGGTCGGTCATATTTATTTTGCTTGCATCTGGCTAAAGGGGCTAAAAGCGAACAAATGTGAAGAAAATGTAAGTAAAACCCCGCTCAAAATTTTGGAATTAAACCCCGCAGAAAATAATTACATAATTCCCCCACTTGTGTTCCAGGCATAATAGACCCTTTCGCAAATGTGCATTACCACAATGTTCGGGTTTGCGTTTTAATTTGGTGCACAAGTTTCCCCGTCGCAAGGAGCGATTGCAACAGTGGTTGGATGCCATTGGCAGTTCACGTCTGAGTAACCTTCCCGTGGAGCGTTTAAATCTGTTGTGGATATGCTGCCGCCACTTTCGTGTTGAGGACTATGTTAATCCGCAATCCAAGACGTTAAATGTTGCGGCTGTGCCAAGTTTAAATCTGCGGCAATTGGATGCCCTGGACAAGTGTCGTCAGGGTGATGTTGAAAAGGCCACGGTATTGACGGATGAAGAAATCATTTGGCTACAGGAGAATAAAAGTAAAGGGCATTTGGAATTGCTGAAACTACGGGCAAATGCTGAACAAAAGACGACCACAACACCACCACCTTCGGCAGCAGCAGCATCCGGACATCAACATAATAATGTTAGTTCCACCACAAGTACACCACCTCCATCCGCATTACTACCCACACCAACGGCAATTAGTTTAGCTGAAGCCGAGCGTATCCTCAAACAAACACCTTGTTGTCACAGCAATATAATTGCCTCAATACCGGGCGCCAAAATACCCCCCATACCACACAATGTAACCGCAACAACACCACCGGCCTGTTCCTCCTCCCCCGCCACATTATCACAAATTGCGTCCTGTTCTACCGAAGATACCACCGATTTTACTCTATTTCTCGATGATGGTTATATTGAAATTAATGACTTCAAGTTGGGACGCAACTATGAGCTGAATAGCCTATGGCTGCGTTCCTTGTGCCGCTGTGCCAAGTGCTATGATGCGAAACATGACATTCCAAAAATAAATGTATTTGAGCTGTCACCGGATGTCCAGCCGATTATGGCAAATGTTGCAGATGAAACTACAAAATTGGAAATTGTATGTAAGTGAACAAAAACTTAATTTCAGAAAATGGAACTGAAGAAAAAGGTTGAGGATAAGAGAGCCTTCATTGACGAACTGAAAATATTTTCCACGGTTGAGTCTTTATAGAAGAGTTAAAGGGAGTCTTTATAGACGAGCTGAAGCAGGGAGTCTTTGTAGAAGAGCTGAAGCAGAGAGTCTTTATAGACGAGCTGAAGCAGGGAGTCTTTATAGACGAGCTAAAGCAGGGAGTCTTTGTAGAAGAGCTGAAGCAGAGAGTCTTTATAGACGAGCTGAAGCAGGGAGTCTTTATAGACGAGCTGAAGCAAGGAGTCTTTATAGACGAGCTGAAGCAGGGAGTCTTTCATAGACGAGCTGAAGCAGGGAGTCTTTCATAGACGAGCTGAAGCAGGGAGTCTTTCATAGACGAGCTGAAGCAGGGAGTCTTTCATAGACGAGCTGAAGCAGGGAGTCTTTCATAGCTGAAGCAGCTGAAGCTGAAGCAGGGAGTCTTTCATAGACGAGCTGAAGCAGGAAGTCTTTCATAGACGAGCTGAAGCAGGGAGTCTTTCATAGACGAGCTGAAGCAGGGAGTCTTTATAGACTAGCTGAAGCAGGCAGTCTTTATAGATGAGCTGAAGCAGGGAGTCTTTCATAGACGAGCTGAAGGGAGACGAGTCTATAAAGATGCGTAGATTTTTAAAATAATTTTTATCCAAGGTCTATATAAGACCTATATTTTTAAAATACTTTTTTTCCATGGCCTATATAAGGCGTAGATTTATTTAAATATTTTTTTCCAAGGCCTATATATTACTTTATCTATTACTTAAGATTTTTTACTATAAAATGCTGTTCTCTTTCCTTCTTTTTTCCTACAGGGGAAGATGGTCATACCTCTACATATGACCTAAATCAAATCTATGAAAAAATGCACATGAAAAAAGTCCTCAGCCCACTGCATAATTACATCTTGTGGACATCGCGTGATATAAAAGAAAGCTCCGAAGACGATTTTAAACCCCTACCATGTCATGATCTATTAATGGATCCCACAAAAATACCCACCGCACTACGAAGGCTACAAAAAACTGGAGTTTTAATTATTAACGCCCTACCACGATCCGATACGGATTCACTGCTCAGACGAACGCTTATATCGAAACTATTCAATCATGTCTGGGATAATTTGATAAGTGAAAAACGTAAACAATTTTGTGCCACACATACCACGCCATATACGAACTGTACCTTTGAGTCAATGGACAAGGGTCTACAAATGCTCACTGTGCCATATCACAAAGAAAATATCAAAATTAAATTATGTTTAGTCGATGGATTTAATGCGGCCAAACAATTGCAGCAGCTAAATCAAATATCTTATGATTTTTTAACACAATACATACTCGAATATGCGTTTAAGGATAGTCGAGGATATTGCCATCACGTCAAACAAAATGTTATTAATCTTAAGGATGAACGTATTATGTTCTCACCGTATCATTTAAGTGATCTGAAGGCACAAGATTTTGATATGATTGCCACACATTCCAAGAATTTCAATGAAATTCTAAAGCTACACGAAAATCAATGGCATATTGAACTGGATTCTGAAATGTTGATCATTTTGGATAATTATCGTATTTGTTGGTGTTTGAGTGAACAACTGAGTGCTGACACCGAATTGAATTGTTTCTACATGGAGCGGAGACATTTTATAAGTAGTTTACATCAATTAGAGGTTAGTGCAAATTTGTTTCACTCCATATGATTTGAATTAATAATTATTTTGTTTTATTTTTCAGCAGTGATTTTGTCGTATACAACAATCGCAACATATAAAGTTCCTATATATATATATATATATACACGCGTACATGCATATATACAAAAACAAAAAACCCATCTACATTATATACACATACAATTCGAATGTTCCTATTACAATTTAAGCCTAAACTGTTGCTGACCACTTTCCAACCAAGTTCCAGTGCGGAGGCAACAGAATAATTTAATCGTAAGTTATACTAAGATGTTCCTATTAGTTTGATGTTCCTATTTTACAATGAAAAAAATAATGGTAAAGCTCTTATGCTTGAAATGTGTAATATTTTTAAAAGAATATTATGTATAATATACTTTTATTGATGTTCCTATTTACAATTAGGTGATAAACCGAATCGATGATGACTATGGCACGAATATTAAATAATCAATTTTTATTCTCAATAAATACAACGTATGAATTCCTCGAATATATTAATAAGGAAATATTCCTTAATTTGTCGAAATATCATAGAGCAAAATCAGGGACCACTAAATTCCATAGTAAATTAAAGAAACATCAACACAGCAGTTATTGTGGGCCGAGTTTTCTCTACAGAAATAACATCCCCAACTACTGTAGACCAATTTATCTCTATAGGAAAAACGTCCTTTGCCACTGAGGACATTTTTTTAAAACAAAATTTCATCTGTGGCTGAGACATTTTTCCTATAGAAAATATTGTCCTCAGTGGCTGAGACATTATTTCCTATAGAAAAAATTGTCCTCAGTGGTGGACAAAAATTGATTCCTCAGTTACTGTGAACCCATTTTTTCTCTAAAACACGTATGAAAATGCCTCACTGTTTCAACTCGTCTATGAAAGACTCCCTTCAGCTCGTCTATGAAAGTCTCCCTGCTTCAGCTCGTCTATGAAAGTCTCCCTGCTTCAGCTCGTCTATGAAAGACTCCCTGCTTCAGCTCGTCTATGAAAGACTCCCTGCTTCAGCTCGTCTATGAAAGACTCCCTGCTTCAGCTCGTCTATGAAAGACTCCCTGCTTCAGCTCGTCTATGAAAGACTCCCTGCTTCAGCTCGTCTATGAAAGACTCCCTGCTTCAGCTCGTCTATGAAAGACTCCCTACTTCAGCTCGTCTATGAAAGACTCCCTGCTTCAGCTCGTCTATGAAAGACTCCCTACTTCAGCTCGTCTATGAAAGACTCCCTACTTCAGCTCGTCTATGAAAGACTCCCTACTTCAGCTCGTCTATGAAAGACTCCCTGTTTCAGCTCGTCTATGAAAGACTCCCTATTTCAGCTCGTCTATGAAAGACTCCCTGCTTCAGTTCGCCTATGAAAGACTCTGCTTCAGTCGTGTATAGAGACCCCTTTAAGCTCGTGTATAGAGATTTTGAATATTTTTTTATTAATCAAATATTTTATTGTTGTTTTTATTCTAAGCATTTAAAATTACAATTAAGCCCATCAAGATTATAAAATAATTTCTTAAAAGACTAGAAGCTGATGCAGCTTTTTCATTGATATCATAAAAACGCACTGACATTGTGATTGGAACTTCTACCATTTCATCCAATGAAAATTCCAAATCATGTCTTTCACCCATCAGCAAGGCGGCGTATTCAATAATATTCTGATGTTGTTGTTGCGTTAAACCACCACTTAGATCCACATAACCCATATGAAATTCATACATCACACTCAGCAATATATTGCGACATATAAATGTCCCAGTATTTTCCAAATATTGACCAAATACTTGATTAAAATCCGCATTGAAAACATTTAGCTGTATCCAATGTTCGGAATTATTTTTAGGTTTACCCAATTTCGAGATATAATAGGAATTTATTTCACTGATGTTCGGTTGACCATTGAAGAGCTGTTGATTGATGCGATTTTGTAGTGTTAGGCAAATTGTGGTATAGTTGGCCTTTGCAGGACCCGTGAGGTGCGTGGTGTCATTATTCATACGAATTTTACATTGTTTGACAAAATTTACACCATAGTTGATATAGTCTCCTCCCGAAGATTTTTCTGAGCGGCCACATAGACCTTTGTATTTTTCCAAAATGTTTATAGAATGACCTCCTCTTTCTTCGTTGTCCAGATCCGTGGCAAAGAAATCTAATTGCTGATTCTTTTCCGATAAGGGCAATGATTTATTATAGGCCACATATTTTCCCAAGATTACTGGTTTTCCCAAGGTATAGCCATAAGGACCGGAACTTGGTTTTGATTTTCGAATTTCACTTCTATTTTTCAGAACTTCTTTCAAACTTCCATTTAAATATTGGATGTCATATGACAACCAGGATTCGATGGTGTCTACCGATCCAACATCCACTTCCCTATGCCATAATTCAATCAGGATCCCATTGATGGTGGTGAAATTGTGAAATATTTTTATTTGTATTTCCTTGACTTCGGTATTTTCAAAATCCGCTTCCTTAACTTCAGTTGACAATCGACATCTTTCGGAACCGGCAATACACCATCTCAGGGTTATGTTTGCCGTATATTTTTTAAAATGCTTAGGTTCATAGAGATGTTCCGCTAAATTAGGCTTTTGTAGAACTTTGTAATTGTCCTGGAAATCCATTAATTTCACTTGAATATCCTCTAGGTTGTCATTGCGCTGAAGGCATGTTCGTTTTTGAGATTTCAAATATTTTATTGGTTCCATTGTTTGGCAATAGGGTGGCTTCAACGATGAGGGCAGATCTGAAATGACAAGCACGATTTTACCGATTACTTTTCAAGGGTCTACAATTTTTTAAAGAATAATTTTTCCATCCAGTCGTGGATTTTTTAAAGGGTCTACAAGAGGCGTGGATTTAAAAAAATGTTTTTCAAGGGTCTACAAGAGGCGTGTTTTTTTAAAGAATATTTTTTAAGGGTCTACAAGAGGCGTGGATTTAAAAAAATATTTTTCAAGGGTCTACAAGAGGCTTAGATTTTTAAAGAATAATTTTTAAGGGTCCTGAAGAGGCGTGGATTTTTTAAAGAATATTTTTTAAGGGTCCTAAAGAGGCGTGCATTTTTTAAAGAATATTTTTTAAGGGTCCTAAAGAGGCGTGCATTTTTTAAAGAATATTTTTTAAGGGTCCTAAAGAGGCGTGGATTTTTTAAAGAATATTTTTTAAGGGTCCTCAGAGGCACAAGCGTGGATTTTTTAAAGAATATTTTTCAAGGGTCCTCAGAGGCACAAGCGTGGATTTTTTAAAGAATATTTTTTAAGGGTCCTAAAGAGGCGTGGATTTTTTAAAGAATATTTTTTAAGGGTCCTAAACAGGCTTGGATTTTTTAAAAAAAATATTTTTTAAGGGTCCTAAACAGGCTTGGATTTTTTAAAAAAAATATTTTTTAAGGGTCCTAAAGAGGCCACTACAAGGCTTAGATTTTTAAAGAGTAGATTTTCAATGGCCCTTCGAGGAATATTTAGGATTTTTAAAGACCTTAATCTCGCGTGGACTTTAAATATTTTTCAGGAAATTGAAGAAGGCACAGGGGCTTCTGAGGAATATTTATTGTTCTTACCAAAATCCCTTATATCCTTGCTCTCAATATGTATCAATTTCAAGGCATCTCCATACATATAAAATTCCCGACTTGGCTGTTCCGTATCTTCTTTCAGCAAACTTGGCCATTTGTAATAATGTGAAGTATCTGAGAAACTTGGATGGTCCTGCAAAAATAATAAAATTAAATTATTATGAAAATCGATATCCTAACCCCTCTTCCCTTACCCTCTCATGTAGATCCGATGTTGGCAAATTTGTTTTGAAGACACACAACCAACCATCCTTCTCTTCGCACGTAGGCAAGCCATGTTGAAATTTAAAATCTTCAAAACGTCCCTCATGCAGTTCGAAATCATTTAAATTTTCCCGTAGGCATTTAAATGAGCGAAAAGCCTCTGCAGGACAATCCGGATCGCAGCAACAATTAATATCACAACCATTTATGGTTAAATCACAAAAACAATATTTGGAGCTATGTGAACCTCCATTGTGCGCTGAAAGTGCTGATGTTTCTCCGGGTACCTCTGTCGAATTGGTGGTAATATCAGGACCAACTGTCGATGTTGTTGTTGGAGGAGATTTTGTGGTGGTTGTCCGAGATTTTTTAGTTAAAGGTTTCTTTGTGGTATTAGGTGTTGTTGTTGTTGGTTTCTTTGTGCTGCTAGTGGTCTCTTTTCTGGGTGGAAATTCCGGCCATTCGGGTTCCGATTCTGTTGTGATTTCTTCTTGGGGCTTTGCAGTAGAGGTGGTTGTTGTAGCTGATGTGCTAAGGTTTTGTGGCTCAATTTCTTCTGAAATTTGTGTGTCTTCTGTAGAAATTGTTGTTGGGGTTGTTGAAGTTGTTGTTGTGGTCGTCGTTGTGTCTAAGGGTTTTGAGATGCCGATTTTAACTGCATCTAAGGCCAGTAGATTGGGAAGTATTATACAACTCAAAAGTATTAATTTATGGAAAGACATTTTTTGAGGGGTTAGGTTTCGATTTCACTTGAATTCAATACCAAATTTGGCAAAATTGCGAAATATTAAATTGATGTCGATGATTATTTTGCCTGAGGTGCGGGTTTGGAGTTTGTATCTGAAAGAGAAAAAAATAATTTTTTTTAATATCGAAAAAAATTTTTGTTTTTATATCGATGACTTGAATAGATCATTGAAAAAGAGATTTTTAAGAATCCTTGCCTCTTTTAGAACCCTGAAAAAATATTTTTGAATCTGATCCTTACCTTTCCAAGCCGCTAAATATTAAATCCTCCTTGCACAACGCCAAACCACCACCTCCAAATTTTTCTCTCACACTATCGTACCAGGAGCGCGGGGCAATTTTCCAAGTTAACACTTCCAGACGATGTAGTCCTGGTTTAGTGGGTAAATGTACAAACCCGTAACCAACTGGCCAGGATTTATTTAGGACATTAACGGCATGCACTTCCAAATGCAGCTTAGGCCAACCCTGCACCGAGGCTGTGGCCAAGTGTATATCTAATGGTTGGCAGAAATCCGAAGATGATTCCAATCGATTGGCGGACACAAATGTTTGGCCCTGGGCTTCTCCTTGGGCAACACGCCAGGCGGTACCTAGGGGAGAGAGGAGTTAATTAATAACAAACTATTTTCTATGATGCCCGGGTTTTTTTCCTCACCACTCTGTAAACTCCACTTGCAAAAAATGTGTGGTTCTCGAAAATCAACAGCTTTCAATATTTGTCCAATCACATAGACCTCCGCCATTAATTACGAATTTCCAAAAATTCATTTAATTTTGCGAAGGCTTCTTGTTTTATTTCAAACTTTTTCATTTATCTACAGACGAGAATATATCTTCAGTATCGAATTTATACAAAATTTTCTTCTAATGTCCTTCTCCATGACAATACAACCAGCCGTTGCCATGGCATTTTCAAATCAGGGTTGTATTTGACAGAATGATAAAGGGTGTCTCCATGGCAATTAAAGATTTCAAAATTAAAGGGGTTGTCGTCAGAATTTATTAACCACCATGTTTTGCTTCCTAAGGGAGAAAAATAAGTCAAGACAACAACCACAGTACCTTTGTGTGACACACAAAGGACTTCAGAGGGCGGCATTGATTTTTTAAATATATTTTAAAAGGCTACATATAGGCGTAGGGGATGATAGATATCAAGCAACGGCTCTGATTGACTTTAACATGGCGAAGTCCAGGCTTAACTTGGTCCCTCTTTCATCTCAATTGTTGACACTGACCTCCCCTCGGTGTCACCTGGGGTAGCTATTTTCATCACCCGTTGAAATAGTGAGCTAATATGTGCCGCGAGTTCACACATAAGAACTATAAAAAATGGGTTGAGGCGTCGGGTTAGTTGCCCACACTCGGAAAACCCTCCTACTATGAAAAAGCAAAGAAAAAGAAAACTAAACCCCCCCTAATGTTGATGACCACGATCTGCAAATCTGCACTTGGAATGTGCGCACATTGTACAGAAAAGGCGCAGTTCTCGCTTTGGCGGATGTACTCAAGAAGTACAAAGCCGATATTATTGCCTTACAGGAAATGCGATGGAAAGGGACTGGCGTAAGTAAATCAGATGATTTCGCCCTATATTATAGCTGCCATGAAACGTGACATGAATTTGGCTGCGGATTTATGGTCAACAGGAGAATAAAAGACCTCGTCTCCAGATTCACTCCAGTAGATGAGCGAATTGCTATAATCCGCATAAAAGCGAAGTTCTTCTACATCAGTCTTATTTGCGCCCATGCTCCGACCGAAGACAAAGATGAGCAGACCAAAGACATATCTTATGAGCGCCTAGAAACAGCATATGATCGCTGCCCTGGCCATGACATTAAAATTCTGCTAGGAGATTTTAATGCAAAAATCGGAAGGGAAAATATCTTTGGCCCCACCGTCGGAAAATTCAGCCTTCATGAAGAAACATCCGAAAACGGCATGGGGTTGATTGACTACGCGACAGCAAAAAACATGGTAGTTAGCAGTACCAGCTTCAAGCATCTCGATATACACAAGGCCACCTGGATTTCTCCTGATCAAGCAACGAGAAATCAAATCGATAATGTTGTGATAGACGGAAGGCATTCATCCAGTGTATTAGACGTTCGATCGATCCGAGGAACGAATATCGATTCGGACCACTACTACTACGTTCGCACTCGTCTTAATGCAGAAAAGGTGCGATCTAACACAACACGGAAACTCGACGTCGAAAAGCTGTAAAACCAACAGGTAGCCGAGGCCTACTCCGCTCAACTTACCCACCTGCTTGACGAAAGCACTTCTTGTCCCGATAATAGTATAGAAGCACAATGGCAAAGAATTGCCCACTCCCTACAAACTGCAGCAAAAGCAACACTTGGTTACCAAAAACCACCACCAAGGAACCCATGGTACGATCAGGAGTGTCGTAATTCTATTGATGTGAAAAACGCGGCGTATAGGGCAGCCCTGCAGACAGTAGCAACACGTAATGTGATGGAGAATTATCGGGAGAAAAGGAAAGAGGAGAAAAGTGTTTTCAGAAAAAAGAAGAAAGAACAAGAAAAACGTGAGCGTGAGCAAATCGAGATGTACAGGAGTCAGAATTAAGTCCGGAAATGTTACCAACGAGTAAAACACCAAACAGAAGGTTTTGGTACAGCCACATCCTCCTGTAGAGATGAAGAAGGAAACCTGGTGACAGATACAGACAGCGTGTTGAGGATCTGGAAGGAGCATTTTGAAAAAGCTTCTGGTATCAAATAGTGGCGGTGAAGAAGATACCCCAGAACCAAAAAGAGATGATGGTATAGAGTGTATACCACCTAGCCAAGATGAGATCATAAAAGCAATTAATCGGCTCAAGAACAGTAAAGCAACAGGAGCCGATGAGTTACCAGCCGAACTATTCAAGGCTGGTGGTCAGATACTGGTCAGGAGCATGCAACAGCTGATTAGTACAATTTGACGAGAGGAATGCATGTCTAATGATTGGAACCTCAGCACCCTGTGTCCCGTGTATAAAAAAGGAGACAAGACGATATGTGCCAACTATAGAGGAATAAGTCGCCTTCCCATCGCATATAAAATGCTATCCAGTATGCTGTGTGAACGACTGAAGCCAATGGTCAATGACATTATTGGACCATACCAATGTGGCTTCAGACCTGGCAAATCCACCATTGACCATATTTTCACTCTGCGCCAAATCCTGAAAAAAAACCCATGAAAAACACATCGACACATTCCACCTATTCCTCGACTATAAAACCGCATTCGACAGCCCAATCCGTTCATAGGTGTTTAAAGCCATGCCTACGTTCGGCATTCCTGTAAAAATGAATACGGCTATGCATGAAAACTTTAAGTGGCACAAGGTCAGCAGTTAAAGCCGGAAAGCACCTCTCGGAGCCCTTTAATACCGAGCGAGGATTCAGACAAGGTGACAGTTTGTCTTGTGATCTTTTTAACATCTTGCTGGAAAAGGTCATACGAGAGGCAAAGGTGAACAGAAATGGCACTCTGTACACCAAACAACCCATGTTACTCGCCTACGCCGATGACATCGATATAATGGATCGAACATTGCGTGGGGTAACAGCCACCTTTGAACAAATTGAGAAGGAGTCTGCCAAAGTGAGTCTGGCAGTAAACGGCGAGAAGACCAAGCTGATGGTATCAACGCGCAAGACGTCCAGTAGACTCGGATCCACTGTGGAACTTGAGAACTACAGCTTCGAGGTGGTAAAAGATTTTATATACCTTGTTACCGCCACAAGGTATATAAAATGACATCAGTTTTGTAATTCGAAGAAGGATTGTGATGACAAACAGATGCTACTATGGTCTAAGTAAGCAGTTTAGAAACGAGGCCACCTCCCGCCAGACACAACTCACACTTTACAAAACGCTGATATTACCCGTGCTGTTATATGGATCTGAAGCATGGGTTCTTGCGCAAGTAGATGAGGCAGCTCTTGGAGTGTTTGAAAGAAAAATTCTTCGAAAGATCTACGGGCCGATCTCCGTCGACGGTGAATATCGCCGTCGAATGAACCATGAGCTGTACCAGCTATTCTCGGACATCGGCATTGTTAGACGTATTGAGCTACAGCGACTACGTTGGCCAGATCATGTTGTGAGAATGGATGAAGATGCCCCAGCCCAAAAGGAATATAAAAGCGAACCAGCTGACGGTTCACGCAGAAGGGGAAGACCACGAATAAGATGGAAAGATCAAGTGAAGGATAACATTTCCGAATAGGGTCTTTCAAATTGGAAAAACTGTGCAAAAGATCGACGCGCCTGGAAATCTTTTTTAAGCTCGGCTCGGGAACGAAAGTTTTGTCACAAGCCAGCCAAGCAAGTAATATAAGGCGTGAATTTTTTAAAAAATATATTTTTTTCAAGAGTCTCATACAAGGCCCTATTCTTTTTTCAAGGGTCTCATACAAGGTTCTATTCAAAGGGTGGATTTTTTTAAAAGTATTTTTTCAATTTATTTTTGAAGATATATTTTTTGCTTGTTTTCTACATTAAATTTATATGTGTTCAGATTTGGTCCTTCATGTCTTTTTCATCCATGGATCCTCCTTAATTTGTTCCAAACGAAATCGAATCTTCACCGGAGCCAATATGTGTAAGATCAACTGCTTACATTCATTGGACACAGTGGGAGTTTTAGGAAACACCAATGAGGCATTTATGCGTTTCAGTAAGACATTAACATTCGAACCATCGTAGGGTAGACGGCCAAAGACCATGGCATAACAGACCACACCACAGGCCCAAAGATCCGAAAGAAAGGGATCATAGGGAACACCTAGATATGGCAGAGGGAATTTTATATTTCACTATTACGATTACGATTCAATACCTTTCAAAATTTCCGGACTTGCATATGCATAGCTGCCGCAAAATGTTTTCGACAATATAACCTGTTCATCACTGGTCTTGGTATCCTTGCGGGCAAATCCAAAGTCAATCAATTTCAAATTGAAATTTTCATCCAGCAGAAGGTTTTCACATTTTATGTCGCGGTGCACCACACCCTTGGAATGGATATATTCCACTGCATTTATCAGTTGCTTGAAGAGATTTCGGGATTGTGTCTCCTCGAGAAATTTTTTGTCACGCACATAATCCAATAGGGTGCCATTTTCGGCCAATTGCATGATCAGATAGACCCTAAAAGTAAAATATTCAGATTACCACTTCTCCTAAGAGGGGGTGAGATCCTCCTTTACCTATGACTCGTTTCAATGCTCTGATAGAAGGTTATTAAATTTTCATGATGCAACCCCTTGACAGCCTCAATTTCCCGTGGTAAAAATTTTTGGGTATATTCCGCTGGTGCCTTAACCTTTGATATGATTTTAATGGCCACTCGTTTTCCATACTCTTCGGAATAGCCAATTTTCACCTTGGCATAATTACCCGTTCCGATGACCTTACCCATCAGGATGCCATGTTCTTCCAATATGGATTTAGGTTTTCCCGTTTTATTAGTACCACTGAGTTGGGGTGATATCGGTTCTGAGGCTGGTTCAGTTCTAGCATTACTACCCGATGGTCCGGCTTCATCTCGGTGATTCGTGGTTGCGCTGAACGATCGACCACGTTGTGAAACTGGGAAAACGTTTTGTTTAATTTTGAGAGGAATTTTGGTGGACTGTTACGAAAAGAGAACTCGTATATTTTGATGGGATATACTAAATTCGCGTTAAATGCGGATAAATCCAAACCAAAATTTTGAGAATAGCCAAAAATTAGTTTTGAAATAATTTTTTATGCCGAATTTAAAAAATATTTTTTTGAAATTTTGATTTAAATTTTTTTTATTAAATGTCAAATATAACATAAAAAACACTGAGAAAAATATTGAAAATAGATTTGACCCTTGAAAAATTACTTACTTACTAGCTGGCTTGTTACTGAACGGCGCGTCGATCTTTTGCGCATCTCTGCCAAATTTGAAATACCACGTTACAAAATATTGTTTTCTACTTGGTCTTTCCATCTGATTCGTGGCCTTCCCCTTCTTCGGAAACCATCAGTAGGCTCGCTTTTATATGCCTTATGAGCTGCGGCGTTCTCATTCATTCGCATAACATGGCCTAGCCATCGTAGTCGCTGCAGGTCAATACTATGTCGATGTCCGCGTATTAATTGTAAAGCTCGTGGTTCATTCCACGCCGATATTCACCGTCGAATTTTTCTTTCAAACAACCCAAGAGCTGCCTCATCTGCTTGCGCAAGTACACATGCTTCAGATCCATATAACAGCACGGGTAGTAGCAGCGTCTTGTAAAGTGTGAGTTTGGTCTGGCGGGAGGCGGCCTTGTTTCTAAACTTCTTACTTAGACCATGGTAGCATCTGTTGGCCATCACAATCCTTCTTCGAATTACAAACCGGATGTCATTCGTTTTATTTATGGCGGTACCAAGGTAAATAAAATCTTTAACTACCTCGAAGCTGTGGTTCTCAAGTTCCACAGTTGGTCTGAGTCTACTGGACGTCTTGTGCGTTGATACCATCAGCTTGGTCTTCTCGCCGTTTACTCCCAGACCCACTTTGGCAGACTTCTTCTCAATTTGTTCAAATGTGGCTCGCATTGTTCGACCCATTATATCGATGTCCTCGGCGTAGGCGAGTAACATGTGTTGTTTGGTGTACAGAGTGTCATTTCTGTTCACCTCTGCATCTCGTATGACCTTTTCCAGCAGGCTGTTCATAAGATCACACGACAAACTGTCACCTTGTCTGAATCATCGTTCGGTATTAAATGGCTCCGATAGGTCCTTTCCGACAATAACTTCTGACCTTCTGCCACTTAAAGTTATCCTGCATAGCCGTATTAATTTTGCAGTAATGCCGAACGTAGACATGATTTTAAACACCTCTGAACGGATAGGGCTGTCGAATGCGGCTTTATAGTCGACGAATAGGTGGTATGTGTCGATGTGTTTTTCGTGGGTCTTTTCCAGGATTTGGCGCAGAGTGAAAATCTGGTCAATGATGGATTTGCTAGGTCTGAAGCCGCATTGGTATGGTCCAATAATGTCATTGACCATTGGCCTCATCGTTCACAGAGCACACTGGATAGCACTTGATATGCGATGGGAAGAAGGCTAATTCCTCTATAGTTGGCACATATCGTATTGTCTCCTTTTTTGTGCACGGGACACAGGATGCTGAGGTTCCAATCATTGGGAATGTATTCCTCTAGCCAAATTTTACAAATTAGCCGATGCATGCTCCTGACCAGCATCTGATCACCAGTCTTGAATAAATCTGCTTGTAAACCATCGGCACCTGCTGTTTTATTATTCTTCAGCCGATTGATTGCTATTCTGACTTCATCTTGGCTAGGTGGTATACACTATATACCGTCATCTATTATTGGTTCTGCGGTATCCTCTTCACCACTACTATTTGATACCAGAAGCTTTTCAAAATTCTCCTTCCAGATCCTCAACTCGCTGTCTGTATCTGTCACCAGTTTTCCTCTCTACAGGACGATGTGCCTGCACCAAACCCTTCGGTTTGGTGTTTTACTCGTTGGTAAAATTTCCGGACTTCATTCTGACTCCTCTACATCTCGATTTGCTCACGTTCACGTTTTTCTTGTTCTTTCTTCGTTTTTCTGCAAACACGTTTCTCTTATCTCCTTTCTCCTGATAATTCTCCATCACATTACGTGTTGCTACTGTCTGCATGGTTGCCCTATGCTCTGCGTTTTTCACATCAGTAGCATTACGACACTCCTGATCGTACCATGGGTTTCTTGATGGTGGTTTTTGGTACCCAGGTGTTGCTTTTGCTGCAGTTTGTAGGGCAATTCATTGCCATTGTGCTTCTATACTTTTATCGGGACAAGAATTGCTTTCGTCAAGCAGGTGGGTAAGTTGAGCAGAGTAGGCCTCTGCTACCTGTTATGTTTGCAGCTTTTCGACGTCGAGTTTCCGTGTTACATTAGATCGCACCATTGCTGCTACATTAAGATGGGTGCGTACCTTAGCTGCCACAAGGTAATGGTCCGAATCGATATTCGCTTCTCGTATCGATCGAACGTCTAATACACTGGATGAATGCCTTCCGTCTGTCACAACATGATCAATTTGATTTTTCGTTGCTTGATCAGGAGAAATCCAGGTGGCCTTGTGTATATCGAGATGCTTGAATAATCTGGTGCGGCAAACTACCATGTTTTTTGCTGCCGCGAAGTCAATCAACCTCATGCCGTTGTCGAATGTTTCTTCATGAAGGCTGAATTTTCCGACAGTGGGCCAAAGATATTTTCCCTTCCGATTTTTGGGTTAAAATCTCCTAGCAGAATTTTAATGTCATGGCCAGGGCAGCAATCATATGCTGTTTCTAGGCGCTCGTAAAAATGTTTTTGGTCTGCTCATCTTTGTCTTTGGTCGGAGCATGGGGGCAAATGAGACAGATGTAGAAGAACTTTGCTTTTATACGGATTATAGCAATTCGCTCATCTACTGGAGTGAATCTGAAGACGAGGTCTTTTATTCTCCTGTTGACCATAAATCCGCAGCCAAATTCATGTCTCGTTTCATGGCTGCTATAATACAGTGCGTAATCGTCTGATTTACCTACGTCTGTCCCTTTTCATCGCATTTCCTGTAAGTCAATAATATCGGCTTAGTACTTCTTGAGTACATCCGCCAAAGCGAACACTGCGCCTGTTCTGTACATCGTGCGCACATTCCAAGTGCAGATCGTGGTCCTTTATACGTTTGCGGGGGTCGTCAACATTAGGGTGGGATTGATTTTCTTTTGTTTTGGTTTTTCATAGTAGGAGGGGTTTTCCGAGTGTGGGCAACTAACCCTCGTGAACTTACGGCACATATTAGCTCACTATTTCAACCGCGGGGAGGTAAGTGTCCACAATTGAGATGAAAGAGGGACCAAGATAAGCCTGGACTTTGCCATGTTAAAGCCAATCAGAGCCGTTGCTTGGTATTTATCATCCCCTACGTCACCCTGTAAAAAATTATTTAAAAAATCCACGCCTTATGTAGGCCCTATAAAAAATTATTTAAAAAATCCACGCCTTATGTAGGCCCTATAAAAAATTATTTAAAAAATCCACGCCTTATGTAGGCCCTATAAAAAATTATTTAAAAAATCCACGCCTTATGTAGGCCCTATAAAAAATTATTTAAAAAATCCACGCCTTATGTAGGCCCTATAAAAAATTATTTAAAAAATCCACGCCTTATGTAGGCCCTATAAAAAATTATTTAAAAAATCCACGCCTTATGTAGGCCCTATAAAAAATTATTTAAAAAATCCACGCCTTATGTAGGCCCTATAAAAAATTATTTAAAAAATCCACGCCTTATGTAGGCCCTATAAAAAATTATTTAAAAAATCCACGCCTTATGTAGGCCCTATAAAAAATTATTTAAAAAATCCACGCCTTATGTAGGCCCTATAAAAATTATTTAAAAAATCCACGCCTTATGTAGGCCCTATAAAAAATTATTTAAAAAATCCACGCCTTATGTAGGCCCTATAAAAAATTATTTAAAAAATCCACGCCTTATGTAGGCCCTATAAAAAATTATTTAAAAAATCCACGCCTTATGTAGGCCCTATAAAAAATTATTTAAAAAATCCACGCCTTATGTAGGCCCTATAAAAAATTATTTAAAAAATCCACGCCTTATGTAGGCCCTATAAAAAATTATTTAAAAAATCCACGCCTTATGTAGGCCCTATAAAAAATTATTTAAAAAATCCACGCCTTATGTAGGCCCTATAAAAAATTATTTAAAAAATCCACGCCTTATGTAGGCCCTATAAAAAATTATTTAAAAAATCCACGCCTTATGTAGGCCCTATAAAAAATTATTTAAAAAATCCACGCCTTATGTAGGCCCTATAAAAAATTATTTAAAAAATCCACGCCTTATGTAGGCCCTATAAAAAATTATTTAAAAAATCCACGCCTTATGTAGGCCCTATAAAAAATTATTTAAAAAATCCACGCCTTATGTAGGCCCTATAAAAAATTATTTAAAAAATCCACGCCTTATGTAGGCCCTATAAAAAATTATTTAAAAAATCCACGCCTTATGTAGGCCCTATAAAAAATTATTTAAAAAATCCACGCCTTATGTAGGCCCTATAAAAAATTATTTAAAAAATCCACGCCTTATGTATGCCCTATAAAAAATTATTTAAAAAATCCACGCCTTATGTAGGCCCTATAAAAAATTATTTAAAAAATCCACGCCTTATGTAGGCCCTGTAAAAAATTATTTAAAAAATCCACGCCTTATGTAGGCCCTGTAAAAAATTATTTAAAAAATCCACGCCTTATGTAGGCCCTGTAAAAAATTATTTAAAAAATCCACGCCTTATGTAGGCCCTGTAAAAAATTATTTAAAAAATCCACGCCTTATGTAGGCCCTGTAAAAAATTATTTAAAAAATCCACGCCTTATGTAGGCCCTGTAAAAAATTATTTAAAAAATCCACGCCTTATGTAGGCCCTGTAAAAAATTATTTAAAAAATCCACGCCTTATGTAGGCCCTGTAAAAAATTATTTAAAAAATCCACGCCTTATGTAGGCCCTGTAAAAAATTATTTAAAAAATCCA